CCCCCCCCATCCTCTGTTTAACTGTGTACTATGTGGCTTTTATCCAATATGGCTTTTCTCTCCAAATTTAGCACCCTTGGGCTTTTTTTATTATGTGACAGTGAATTTGCCCCTAGAGAAATTTAGGCGGAAATGAACTTCATTAAAATCAGGAACCAGACTGAGCTGCCTTTGTGAATTCTGTTACATTGTTGAAGACAAAGGGGAATCAAATGTAAAGGCAGATTTCCATTGATTGCCCAAGAAATCAGTTTACCCAGATTTGTTTTCCAAAAACGCTTGAATATCCTTTCGTCCAAATTATCTGCTCTTCCCCACCACCTCATGCCTGCCCCCCTGGCGCGCTGAGCTGGCTGCCGAGACCCAGAGTGGTAGTGCAGGCCTGTAATCCCAGCACCGAAGTGGATGAAACCAGGAGGATCATTATGAGTCCGAGCTGCATAGTGAGACCCTGTACCGAATACATCAAAAAACAAAAAAGAAAAAAAAAAACAGAAAGAAATTATCTACTCTCTTCGGTCAAGGGATGTGGCTCAGGCATGGAGTATATGCCTACATGGCTAGCAAGTATGAGGTCCTGGATTCCACAATTAAAACAAAAATGGTTTTTGTTTTTAGAAAGACCTGTGTACCTCTCTCTGTTGATCTTTAATGACAAAAGTAGGACTAGGTCTGTGGCCTTCACCATAATCCAAATACTGGGCGATGCTAGCAGTACAGAAACCTGATAATAAAGACACCTGTTTTCTGATGATGGTAAGTGCTTTATCTTAGTTCTGCTCCTACTGTCATGTCCAAGGTGTTGTCTGTTGAAGTTCCTCAGTAGTTGCTGCCTTGATGGACTGGGTTGGGCTGAAGGAGGAGTTCTTACATTTCTCTTATGTGTGCTGGTCATGACTAAGGTTCCCGTGGATGAACTGTGGCGTCTTCATAGAATGTGATGGTTACGACTCTGATTGTATATGTAAATCTAATATTTTGGAGGACAAGGACATTCTGCAGCCCTCTGCTAGTGCACGTGCATGTGCATATATTTACTTATATGGTCAACAAACAATTGCTAAATAACAGCTGAATAACTGGCCAGTGCTGACTACTCACTAAAAGTCACAACATAATGATAGCATCCACTTTTGTTATGATAACTTATAATTGTGAGGTCAACTGGGAAACTAGCACAAAATCAAACATGCAGGCACAAACTCAAGGGTCTATTTCCTGGCCTTTAGTCCAGAATGCAGCCCTACACTTTTCAAATGTCATTACTCACATGCATCATTTCCAGTCGTTGGGATTGACGTGCAGTGTATTTGAACTTGGATGCTGTTCTTGAAAACAACCATAATTATGATTCTTACCATTTGGAAATAGAAAATGAAAAATGTCCCTGCTGCGTTTCAGGGCTTGCCTTTGAAAGTTTAATTTCCCCCCTTTGTGCTGCTAATGGACCTTGAAATTAAGTTGCACCTGTGCTGCCTCTTTGTCTGCCTGCCTTATCAC